CCGTAGACAGGCTTATGAAGCAGATCACTGGTTTCATGTCCGAGATCAGTGAGGATAGGAACAGCTGAAGTTGTGATACTGCGCGAGTAAACTGTTGTGACGTGACGTTTCTCATTTCACAAATGGCTCTGGCGGCTTCATAGTTGACCATGTCACTCTTGTGTCTGAGCCAGCCTTCCAATAAGTCGAACATCTGCTTTTGGACACTGTAAAAGGCAGTCAAGGTAAATACGTACAGCTTATGAGGACATGACATCGGAAACTCACTTTGGGTCCTCATCCATGACTTTTGCCGCATATCTGATAAGCATACAAAGTGCCATGGGATTTTTAAGTGAGCTACTGGTAGCAGACTTCCCACCAGCTAATTGTTGTATCATTTTGGTCACCGCCATGCGATCTTGTTGTCGAATGGCGTACAAGAGTCCGAGGGCATGATATTGAGTAATGTAGCTTGTGGATGGTATGGTTGGATTGACGGGAGTAACTGGTGCAGATGACCCAAAACCAAGGTATCCACCAGCGCTGCTCAGGTTCATAGCAGAGGGGCCAGAGCTACCCATAAATGCACTAGATGAAGGTTTCGCATGAACAGCTTCTTGTGCTTCATTCACCCAGCGCTTGATAACCTCCCGAGCGACGGGGAATAGGTGATAAGTAGAAATGAGAGATGCAGAAGAAATAGCAGAGTTTTTGTCCACAATCGCGGCCTTGAAGAATCTTTCCACACTTTGAACCATGGATGGCTATATTGCGACGTAAATAAAAGGTCAGCAATGCGTCACAATACTCACGTCGATAATTCTACAAAGTGCTCGGATGGCATTGGGCCGATAAATGGCTTCTGCATTCGATTGCATATCTTTCTGTATACTACTAGTGACCATGATAACATTCTCAGCAGTCGAAGACAATTCTTTGATGGCTAAGTAGACTGCTTGTCGGAGAGCAGACTGCCACGACATTCATTAGCATCGCCATATCAGGTAAAGAAACACGTTACTAACATCCTTGTTTTGAAAGAGCTTGGTTGTCCCAAAAAAGAGTGTCGTAGCCTCGTGAGTGGCGAAAGTGTCACCAGTATAGAGCAAGTAGACGATCCGGGTTAACAGTGAGCGGCATTTTCTTGGATTGATTGGTGATTCGTTGAAAACACGCGCTTCTTGAATAATGGTCGTTTTATTATTGTAGTAAATACCCTCATCGTCCTTCTTGCTGCTCATCGTGGCTTGGTCGTAGAAGTTTGGGAACCAAACAAAACGACGGCTGCCGCCTTCCTTACCTTCCCATTATCTATCAGTCCCCGATAATGTCAAGAAATCATCCTGGAACTCGTGGTATACCTCAGCATGTAGCACAAGCTGCTCCACAACAGGCTGCCCCAGAAGACCAAGCTATGGCAGAAGACGTGCAAGATGGATATGGTCAGTATACCAACAAAATGACTCTGATTATTTCTGATCCTCCAGTTCAGCGTCCTCCACCCCCACTTCATCACTAACTTGGATCGCATGGTTCTGTTCCCTGCCTGGCCACGAGTATTTCTGCGAAGTCACAGAGGATTTCATCGAAGACGACTTCAATCTCACAGGACTAAGCGCTATGGTGCCGTTTTGGAAGGAAGCAATGGAGATGGTGCTCGATGTAGAGCCCGGTAAAGAATGACGCCCTCTACAATAATACCATTCACTAACTTCTACGCAGAGGATACACATAGGATTCCAGATGTGTCTATAGTAGAAGCTTCTGCGGAGTTGTTATACGGTTTGGTGCATCAGCGCTATATTCTAACCAGACCTGGCTTACAAGCCATGGTGAGTCAGATCCGAGATTAGCCATTCAAATCTCTCTGTCTAAATACCACACGCAGGCCGAGAAGTACGAGAACGGAGTTTTCGGCAGCTGTTTGCGAGTATATTGTACTTCAACCCGCCTCATTCCATGCCATCACTCGAACGCGACCTCC